TTTAATGGGGTACTGGGGATTGAACCTAGGACCTCGTGCATGCCAAGCACACAATCTACCACTGAGCTATACCCTCCCCACCCCAGAACTTAAAATTCTTATAAATGTATTGAGACTTTTTTTATGGCACATAATATGGTCTATCTCAGTAAATATTCTCTGTGTATCTGAGAAGAATGTACATTCTGGTGATACTGTATAACATGTCTTGTAAATGCCAATAGGTCAAGGTGACTAACAGTGTTCTTCATATCTTCTATAACTTCCACGGTGGATATACTTTTTAAAAGTTACTTACAAAAGCATCATAAAAAATCAAATACTCAGAGGTAAGTTTAACAAAAGATATAAAGTCCTGTACACTAAACTCTACAGAACCTTGCTGAGAGAAATTAAAGACCTATCTTACTCAGAAGATATACCATGTTGATGGGCAGGAAGACTCAATATTGTTAAGAAGTCTATTCATCCTAAACTGATCTACAGATTCAGTGTAATCCCAATCTAAATTCCTGCAAGCCTTTCTATAGAAACTGAAAAACTAATAATAAAATTGACGTGGAAGTTCAAAGGACTTCTAACAACCAAAACAATTTTAAAAAGAAAGTTACAGGACTAACATTACCTGATACAAGACTTATTATAAAGCTACAGTGGTGAAGATAATATAGTATTTAGGCATTAAGACAAACAAAAAGATCCACAGAGTGAAGTAAGCCAAAAAGAAAAAGAAAAATACCATATGAGATCACTCATATGTGGAATCTGAAAAAAAAAAAAGAACATAAATACCAAACAGAAATAGACTCACAGACGTAGAATATAAACTTGTGGTTGCCAAGGGGGCAGGGGGTGGGAAGGGACAGACTGGGATTTCAAAATTTGTAGATACTGACAGGCATATGCAGAATAGATAAACAAGATTATACTGTATAGCACAGGGAAATATATATAAGATCTTGTGGTAGCTCACAGTGAAAAACAAAATGTGACAATGAATATATGTATAGTTCATGTATAACTGAAAAATTGAGCTCTGCATTGGAATCTGACACAACATTGTAGAATGACTATAACTCAATTTAAAAAATGTAAAAAAAGATAAATAAAATAAAAATTTTAAAAAAGATCCACAGAAAATAAAGAAATAGAACTATACATAAATATATAAAAAATGAAGGTAAAGTCAGGAGAGAAAGGATGCTGGAATAACTGGATATTCATATGCCAAAAATAAGAACTTCAAACCATTACTCTCCTTTAAAAATTAACTTGAAATGTCATAGACTCAACTATAAATTCTAAAACTATAAATATTATAGAAGTAAACATAGAAAATCTTTGTGATCTTGGATTTGAACTATAAAAGAATAATTTAAACTTCAAAGTTAAAAACTTCTGCTCTTCAAAAGATACTGTTAAGAAAATGAAAAGGTAAGTCAGACTGAGAGAAAATATTTGAAAATTATATGTCTGATAAAGGACTTGTATCCAGAATATATAAAGAACCAAGACTCACAAGAAAACAACCCAATTTTTAAAATGGGCAGGTGAATTTATGAATGGCAAATTAGCACATGACATCATTCGTCAGTTGGGAAATGCAAATTAAAACCACAGTGAAACACTTTCTACACTTTGCAGTAGCCCCAAACAGGAAACAATCCGAAAGTCTTTTCAGGGCTGATAACAAGTGTGATATATTCATATGATATAATTCTACTCAGCAATAAAAAAAATAAACTACTGATAAACATTACAACATGGATGAATCTCAAAATTACACTGAATCAAACAAACTAGACCAAAAAAAAAGAGGGGGGTAATACAGACTGTATGACTCCATTTATGTAAACTTCTAAGAAATGTAAACTAATGTACAGTGACAGAAAGCAGATAAGGGGTTGACTGGAACAAGGGGGAGAGAAGGGTGGGAGGGAGGGACTAAAAAGAGGCATAAGGAAAATTGGGGGATGATAGATGTGTTCATTACTTTGACTGTGGTGGTTTCACAAGTGTTTACATATGTCAGTACAATAAAGTATATATATACAAAGTATACATCAATTATACATCAGTTTTCAAAAAGATGGACAAATTATGGTTATTAAAAATTAGTTATTTGACAGACATTCTATCAAAATTGAGTGAAGTAAGCCTGGCACTTGAAGGAAAAAACAGTTTTTGTTGCCAGTGACAAAATCCAAGCTTTCAAATAAAAGTTACAACTTTGGAAAACACATACTGGCCACCATCACCACTTTTAACTACTTTTCCAGGGACATCAGCAGTGACATTAATGAACACGAACTTTTGATACTGTATAATGAATTATGTCACTATTTAGAAGATAGTGATAGGATATAACCTGGTCACTAGACATTTTCCAAATAAGAAATGACAAAGCATGATGCTACAAATCATGGATTCATCATACAAGTTCAACCAATGGAATTAACGTAACAGTATGAAAAGTCAGTGTGGTTTCAGAGTCCACACTGCAACTAATCTTCAAGAAAAGTTAGCAAAGTCTACTGTGGTAGGCAGAATTTGAAGACAGCCTCTCCAAAATGTCCACCCTGACCCCTGGAACATGTGAACATGATGAGATATCAGTTCCGTAATTATGTCTGTCACATGGCACAGCTGCCCTAGAGAACGGGTGATTATCCAGGTGAGCCTGATTCAATTATGAGCCCTTTCAAAAAAGCATAGAGTACTCTCCCAGCTTTTTTGAGAAACAAAACAGAACAACAATAACAAAAGAAGTAGAGAAATTCAAGGAATTTGAATGATGTGACACCCTGGGTCTGAAGATGAAAGAATATAGGAAACCTTAAGGAGCTGGGAGATGCCCCTGGCTTATAGCAAGAAAGGAAACCTTATTCTATTTCAGCTGCAAGAAATGAGACTCTGCCACCAACATGAAGGAACTTCGTAGTGGATGCTTCCCCAGTACCTCCAGATAAGAACTCAGTTTGATATCCTGATTGTTGGCTTTGTGAGTCCCTGAGCTGAGAACCCAGTTAATCCTGCCTGGACTTCTAACCTACACAACAATGAGGTAATAAATGGATGTTGTTTAAAGCTGCTAAGTTGTGATCATTTGTTGTGCAGCAATATATTAACCATAAATCAAAATGCACATAAACTCAGCTCCAACCATCCCATTGCTTAAAATTTACCCAATACATAACTTCAAAACGATACTTACGATATAAATTCACAGACATTAACTGAGCACAATTTAAAATAGAAAAAGCCCCCAAAATAAAAATGGAAACAACCAAAGTACCCATAAATAGATTAATTAAATTATATAAAACCATATAATGGAATATTCTGTAGCCATTATAAAGAAAACATAGAACTATATGGATGAATATGAAACAATGAAACCATGTTACACTAATAAGAGAAAAAAGATCAGAAATAGTATTATGATTTTAATAATTAAAAGATTTGCATAAAATCAAGGTATCTATATTAAATATTTTCCTGGGGAAAAAAAAACACAAAAAGCTAAACAGCAATTAGCTTTGGTATAGGATTAGATTGTTGAGTGGGAGATATTCATTTTTTATTTTCTCCTTTCATTACAGTTTGAACTTTCTAATGAAGTTCATTATTCTTAATTATCTAAAAAAAAAAAAGATCAATAAAGGTTACCAGTTTACTGTCCAGATAAACACCTCCCTGGCTTGCTTGCAGATTTATCTTTTGTTTTATTCAACTTGGAACTGCCATCAGGAATTTGTTATCCATGTTCCTTTAATCATTCATAGTAACAACAAAATCACGTTTCCTCAGCAAGCCTACTCTATCCCTCAAATCTAAGTTTCTCAGTGACATCCGTATTAACTGGGGGCTTCATTTGCACTTATGTGAACATTTATATATATTTATAATACTTAAACATTCTATTCTACTTAAAACTCTGGGCTATTCAATTGTTTTTAAAATTTCAGACTGTAGGCTATTTTTTCCATAACTTTACTAAAACCTACTTTAAGATATAAATCATAAATAGTGTAAATCATGCAATATACATTGCCATCTTGAGGATGAAAATGACCATGCTCTAGGAATCCTACACTTACATCGTAATAAAGAAATATTCTAAGAGCAATCAAACCAGCAGGACAAAATGAGACCAATTATCCTTAAGTCATAAAGGAATTATGTGAACAGTTTTTAAGAGGCAATCTACAATATCAGGTTTATTTGCTATATATTAAAGTTAAGAAGTATTTTTCATATTAAGTTTCTTTTTTAAAAATGAATAAATAGGTATTAAGGTAACAAAGTGAATCCTTCTCAGTTATTAAGTATTATTGTTTTTGTAAATCTTTTCAAGATAAAATTTTTACCTTTGATTGTATTTTCTACAACAGAAAGAAATACAATAGAAGTAACTTAAAAATATACAGTATCAGTTTGATGCTATTCTTGTTTGTTGTCAAAAGTGGCTAACCAAAATACCTGGAGATGTTGAAAGTCACCAGAAAGAAATATAAGGACAAATTCCTAGAGATTACATTTTTTTTTGTACACATATGAAAGAAGTTCATAGATTGTGACCCAAAGCATTATGGTATTATTTTGCACAACCAAACAAGAGGATGTGTGGTAATGTACTTGGAAAATGATATACAGTGAACTAAATATACGATAGTACTATCATTATTATAAAGTCAAACTAAGTAGACTATTCTTCTAAATAGCCTTTCTCACAGAAACATTACATATAACTAAACTCCATGTGTAACCACACTGTAGTAATATATCTTCTCTTAAAAAGGTTGGCTGACATTTTCTAGAAAATAGCATAGTATTATGGACTATAAAAATATCGAGTACGTGTACAAGCTTTTTGTCATCAGGAAAATGTTAAACAAAATTCTCAAACTTTACAAGGGGAAATCAAAGAGACTGAACATATAAAAGCAGTAAAACATGACATTAAAATGTCATCGAGGAAATCTCTGAAATCGTATTACCTGGAACCAGTTCCATAATGATGTAGATAGGCTGTCTTTGTGTGCATACTCCTATAAGTTTGACAATATTGGGATGATCATATTGCTTGAGAATTCTGAATGAGAGAAGTATAAGAATAGTTACCATTTAAATAATAAGCATTAATTTATGAACATGAGTAATGTGCACAAGTAGAACACACAATTTTTAAAACTTTAGGATGAACCCAAATTACGATAAATAGGATGTATAAATTTTTGATAAATATTGTCAAAATAAAGGTACAAATGAGTCAATTCTTAATCCAATTACATATTCATTTAAGAATTATTAGCCACTCTGAATAACAACCATGCTAAATAGCAATAACTTACTCAGTTCAAAGTATATAGAATTCCCTTTATAATATCTGATTTTAACCACTCTCACAAAAGCATAGCTGAAAAGTATTAGTGGACTAAAAACCATACACTGTCAGGGCAGCACTGTACACACTTCATTTAAAATAAATAAAAGAACAATTTATACTGGTAAATGCTATAGGGTAATCACTTCATATTGAGATTTTAAACTCCATACTTTCTTGATGATCATGATCACTTTTAAAATAGTAAAAAGTCAAAAGTTTTGAGAAAGCTGGCAGAAGGTTAAAACAATGAGTAATGTAAGACTTAGGCTGAGGCAGAGAAGACCTAGTTTGGATAAAGGCATAATTTCAGAGGGCTATAAACGTAGCTTAGACTCATCCATAGGGCTCCAAGTATGAGTTAAAAATAGATTAGACTCCCTCAGAGGCCTGTCTACTCTGATGATTTCTGTTACCAAATGTTATTCCATATTATCCTGTTGATACAGTTATAAATGCACTTTCTTTCCTAAGATAATGAAAAAATAACTTCATTTGAAGAAAGATAAGAGTTCATATATATTTTGTACATGCACAACTAAAGCAGAGACAGCTCTAAAAAATGTTATCAATTGAAAAATATATAATGATTTATAAATGAAAAGATAGACTGGGAGGAATTCTAGAGATGAGGAAAATAGTTTGTCAATAACTAAGCTTGCAGTTTCTATGAGAAACTAGAAAGGAAGTTTTAGAATATTTGACTTTAATCCAAAATGTCATTTCTTACGTTGAAAAGTGCTTAATAAACAAGTTCCACAAACAGCCAAGATGAATCCAAATAATATTAAACATCTAAATATACAGCTCTATCATCTATTAAAGGATATTTGGGAGTTTGCATGAATATAATTTTCATTTTTAACATAAAATTTCATGGTCTCACTTTACAAGAAGAAAGTAAACTTTTTATTTTGCAATAAAATAAAAAATTAGAGAGCTAGAAGATTAAATATTTTTAAAGAATTTTAGATATAACCTGTATCTTAAAATACCTATGAATAACAAAAATAATGAGCATATGAACTTCAATTGTGATAGCATACCTTTAAATTACTCATAGAATACTTTTTCTGAATTGCTAATATACATAAAAAAATTATAATTTTATTCTATAGATAATATTTAATAAATGCACCCGACTAGTTTAATCCATTGCTATAAATATTCATTTTTAGATAATGGAGAAATGACATCAAGGTGCTCTCTGCCATGGAACTTTGTTCTTTCATTGCTATGCCCTCTGTTCTCCAATAGTACTTTACAAAAAACTTCAGTTTTATATACAACACCAACATGGAGACAAAACACACACACACACCCCCACACCTTTCTCTCCTCCCCTTTATACCACCAATCTGTGGATCTACATATTCTCCTTCTCCTTCTCTCCCTTCCATCCAACCATCTCATTCATACGTCCATTTCCACTCTGTCCAAAGCACCTTTCCATTTGTTTTGTGTTTTGATGTATATACCAGATTTTACCACTAATGTGATAGTTTTAAATATCTGCAACACAGGGCTGGCAAGTTGGAACATTAAATTTTAGCTAAAATAGAAGAAAGAGAAGACTATCATCCTAGAATATCAGATAGAAAAGAAACAATATGCAAAATTTGGAACAAATGCCAGAACTGAGTTAAAAAAGAAATCTGAGGTTCTCGGAAAAAAAAAAAAAAGCTAACAGCTGGAAATAAAGACTTAAGCAGTATCTAAAGGGTAGGATAGATATAATTATATACCTATATATATGAAAATTATGTCTTTTATATATAGAATACAGTAATATTTTTATTATAAAGATAATCACAGCATTGCATATATACATATGTGTATATGTATGTGTGATTAAAAAATTGCAATATTTTTTGCTTTTAAGACTCGAAGAATACTCAGTATTTTTTAGAATCTGGTTCTTTTGATTGTGATGGCCTAACTAACCTATAATCTAACTCAAAAACAAAAAAACTTTTGTTTCCACATTGTATGATAAGTGCTTACTTTTGAGGGCTCTGAAAGTGCTTATTTCTACTTCACCTAATCATAATTTAAGA